ACAAGCTCGATCGGCAGCTCGATCGAGTCCAACTCTAGCTCGATCGAGTCCGACCTCTTCTGTCCGACAGCCTGTTTTGCTTGATCCTTATCAACCGGTTGCCGCTTCCTCGTCTCGCCTACTTAGTCAAGGTCACAAGGAAGTGATTCACAAGTTCAGAAGAGATCTCAGTGGGATTGGAATTGAGTTGCCTCTATGGATAGCATGAGTGAGGCATTTGATCAAATGCAAATGGTCAAGGATGTTCTAGCCAACAGTGATAAAGTTTCAGAGGTCCTACAAGAGTCTACTCATCAGTTCAACCTGCTTACTTCACCCACCTTCCTACCAAAGGTCAAGGATCAAGGGAAATTCACTCTCCCTTGCACACTTGGGCATCTTGAGCTTGACAATGCCTTAGTGGATTCTGGAGCAAGCATCAATCTGATCTCTCTCTCCATGGCAGAGAAGCTAGGCATAGCTGGAGCCTTGCAGCGCCCTACTACTTCAATCATGTTTGGAGATGCAACTTCTAAGTCTCCTCTTGGAGTGTTCAAGAACTATCACTTGAAAATTGGAGAATGCATCATCCAAACTGATCTCACTGTGATGGAAATGGAAGAAGAGAAGGATTTGCCTCTGTTATTGGGAACCCCTTTCCTTAGTACAGTTGGCGCTTCAATAGACTTTCACAAGCAAGAAGTGATCCTTCACAAGGTGAATAGTTTGGTGTCATATCGCTTGCAGCCTAGAGGTTCAGACTTTTGTGCCACAATTGACAGTACCAATCTCAGTTCTAAGAGTCATGGAGCTACAAAGGTTGTGAAGGAAAGGGTTGACAAAGAACCAAGAGTTGGGAAGGATAAGGATGAGAGAGGACCAAGGATTGAGAAGCCACGTCTTGAGAGGGCTAGAGTTGAGAAACCACGTCTGATAGGCCAAGAGCTGAGCGACTTGTTCAAGCCCCTTGTGTGCTTGATGAAGAGAGCCTTCAAGCTTTGTTTGATGAGCCACTAGGAAGGGCTCTAAAAGAAGGGGAGGATGTAGCCTCTAAGGCAAGACCAGGGATAAAAGAAAAGATCCACCAGCTCAGGCCCCTTCATCAAGCCATCTCAGCTCACAATGACTTTGTTCCCCACCAAGTTTGAAAATGGGAAGATTGAGTACAAGATAAGGTACAAGGGGAGATCAAGGCCATTCTCTAGAGCCAAGGCCTTGGTGACTTCAGAACAGTCCAGGGACCCAACCAAGCTAAAGGAGCTTCTGTCTCAAGTCCTCACTATCACCCTTGATGGTGGGACTAGCTCAACCAATGCCTAAGAAGGTAAAGGTCAAGCTATGGGACCTTAAACAAGCTCACTTGGGAGGAAGTCCCATGTTTATCCTTGTACATACTCTATTTATGCAATTTCTATCTATCTTTATGTTTTTAACCTTTGAATAAGTTAAGTTTAGGTGTCAAAGGAGCCAGCTCGACCGATAGCTCGATCGAGCTAGAAACCAGGGCAACTCGATCGAGCTACTCAACTCGACCGAGGTAAGTTTTTGAATTTCAAATTCATAACCGTTTTCTTGGTCAAGGGAGTGGGTCCCACAAGCTGATTTTGGTCCCCCACTACCCTAATTTGATCAGAGAATCCCTAGCTTTCTTGTTCCCTCTTTATTTCATCTTTTAATCTCAACCACACATCTCAAACACTCCCTCTTCCCCATAACTCGATCGAATCCACACTCTCTCTCTCCCACACTCTAAATTTCTGAAACTCTCTCTCTCTCTTCACCACAAGAAAATTTCGATTTTCAATCTTTCTCTCTTAAGTTTTTGCGATTTCCTTTGTTCTTCATCTTGTTTTGCTTGGGTTTTGTTTACTGCTCTTCAATTCCATCATTCAAGCAAGGTATGAACCCTAAAACCCTTGATTCTCCATCTCGATTTCCATTATTGCTTCCTTTGATTTTTGATTGCATGTGTCCCTTGTGGACTTGTTCTTGAGTAATTGCTTTCATATTTCGCTCTTTGTATAATCTTGTGAATTTGCCTCACCTCACCTCTGTTTTGCCAAACTTGTTGCATGTGCTTGATTGAATTTGAGTTTGGTATTGGTTAAGATGCTTAGTTCACTAGAATTGCTCATTGTTCCATTTACTAGTTGTTCTTGGTTCAATTTGATTGATTAGCATCCTTTCCAGCTCTTAATACTTGAATTAGGTTTGGTTATACTCTGTTTTCACCTAGCTCGATCGAGTTTGTCACTCGAGTTTTTTGACTCGATCGAGCTGAGTGTCGAGTTGACCAAACCGATCATTGCAACTCTAATTCTTTGTAATCTTTGATGCATTTCAGGTACTTTAGTGAAGAAACAGTGTAACAAGATGACAAACAGTGAGGGAAGCCGCTTCACAGAGGAAATGGCAGAGGCAAGGGAAAGAAGGCTTAAGATGCAAGCCGATTTGGAGAGGAGAGATCAGAGGATGGAAAGAGATGCATGAGGAGGATATGTGTACTCTGAGGAAGAGTCTGAGAGTGAGAGATTGAGGGAAGAAAGGAGACCAAGAAGAGGAATGACCCTATTAGTAGTGAGAGTGAGCAAGGAGTTTGAGATTGGAGTGAACCTTGTTCAAGAGGAGGGAAATGGTCTCCAAATGAAGGAAGTGATGAGACTGAGAGTGAAGAGGAAGGAGAAGAGGTGAATCAGTTGGTTGAAGAAAGTGAGCAAGAGAGAACCAAGATGACCATGGAGGAGGTTGAGGAGGCAAGAGGAGAGGATGAGCTCCCTATGTACCAAGAGCACTACAATGCTCTCTTCTCCATGGACTTCATGGATACCAAGTACCCACATGTTGACACAATGAAGGCCCTTGGAATCTTTGAAGATGTGGAGTTGGTTCTCAAGAACATGCACTTGGCCAAGCTCTTCTCTTACACATGGAATCCTACAAGGAGCTCACTTGCGAGTTCTAGCTTCAATGAGGTACCACATGTATGAGAGAAGATAGAGCTGATTTGGACCAAGGATTGGGATGGATCACGTTCTTGGCTAAGGGAGAGAAGAGAATGGTGACCTTTAGGCAGCTTGGAAATCTTGTTTGGGTTCAACTATGGAGAAGGTACCAAGTGGAACTTCAAGGAAAAGGAACTCCAAAGGGTTTGGGCTACAATCGCTGATGGAGTGTACTCTTCCTCAAGGTCCAAGGCAGCTCAGATCAGGAGCCCAGTCTTGAGGTATGTGCACAAGGCACTTGCCAACACCTTCTTTGCAAGGAAGGCGACCGGGACCATCAACGAGGGGGAACTCAAGTTTCTTGACATGGGAATCAAGCCCATTCTCTCACGCACAAGCGATGGCAAGAGGATAAGGGGAGATAGATCTGACACAGGGAACTTGATGCCTTTCCTTGACCATCTCCTCACCTACAAGACACAGCCTACAACACTAGACATCAACGAGGAAGGCGCCTAAGTGTTGGAGGGCTCATCACACCTATCTTGTGTGCTGCTGGAGTGAACCCAACTGATAGGAGAGCCACTGAACCAGGTTGGATGGACATCAAGTTTTGCAAGACCAACCTTCTCATTGAGCACAAGGAGTTGGATGGGAGATTCCAATTCAAGTTCACACATCCATTGGTTGGACCCTCCAAGTTCTCCTGCCCAACCCAGAGCTCACCACAGTTAAGGGGTGAGAACATTGACTTCAGACCCCCTGTGTACACATTAGTTGGGCATGAGCGATTTGCAGAAGAGGAGATCGAGCTCGATCGAGCTGAGGATCGAGCTGAGTCAAGCTGAGGATCAGGTCCAGGAGAGTGCGATTTGGGTGAGCCTGAGTGCTATTACTTTGAGGAGTATGAGGCTCCAAGGATGAACCCCTCTGTTGTGGCTGCCCACAAGAGGATTGGACTTCTCCAAAAGTTCAACAAATGGCAAGGGAAAGCCATTGAGAAGATGCAAAAGTCCATGGACAAGATGGTGAGCAAGATCAAAAGTTTGGAGAAGAAGGTTTCTGGTTCTTCAAGCAAGAAGAAGTCCAAGGCCCCCACATTCCCTAGGAGTAGATCACTCCTCACCACTCCAAGGAGGCTCCCTGCCCAAGAGCCTCACAGAGCCTCTTCTTTCGAGCCAAGGGAAGGAGAGACAAACGCAGAGAAGGAGGAAGAGTTCCAAGGCCAGACGCTCCAGCTCGACCACCGGACTCGATCGAGTCCAAACAGAGGAAACTCAACTCGATCGAGCTGACGGTCGAGTTGACCTGGAGGAGCCCAGTTTGAGATCCGGGATTTGAGTACGATCCCAGCCTTACCAGGACCTCCCCGGAGTAGATGGAACCCCTATGGACAGTACGAGCTAGCCATGCTCCACCAAGGCCAAGGAAGCCACACCACTTTGAGATGAAGAAGAGGAGAAGAGGAGCCGCAAGCTCGATCGAGTGAGCACAAGAGGCAACCCAGTTGCATGGAGTGCTCCTGATGGCCGTCTCCCATCTCCAGACCACGACCTAGCCTCCCAGTTCTTTGGGGGGCACTGAGGTATCCAAACACCAACCCTTGTATATACCATTTCATATTTTCTTGCATTTTGTCTTGTTTTTCTTGGTTTTGCCCTCTTGAATCTTTCACTAAATTTTTCTCACACAAGGGACTGTGTGATTTAAGTTTGGGGGAGGGTTCAAGAGATGATTTAACCTTGTTTTCTTTGTTCTTAGTTTTTCATTTATCTTTTGCATAGAAAAACCAAAAAAATCATAAAATTTTCAAAAAATCCAAAAATATTTTCATCTTTTTGCATTCATATTTGTTAGACTTGTTTAGGATTGCATTTTTCACTTGCATTGTTGATTTGACTTTGAAAACTTGTCCATCTTTTGCGATTTCTTGAGTGCCCTGTTTTTAGATTCTTTTGTGCATTAGGGTGAGATTGATTGAGCAGCAAGAACCATGTTTATCTTGATCATATCACTGCATGCACATCTCATTCAACCATTGCTGTGATTTGATGCATTTCCCTATCTATTTGAACCATAACTTGATCTTTAATTACCAATGCTTGCATTTGATTTCAACTCATGGCTACCACATACATATCTGGACATTCTTTACCATTTTCATATCCCTTTTGCTTGTCCAGATAGCTGATCTCTATCTTTGAGACAGTTACCACACCTTAAACCTAAGCCTTTTCATTTCAAACCCCATTTTATCTCTTGTGCGAATGTGAGAACCTTTCTTGGCTTTGCTTAGCATAAGGTGTTGTGTTTAAACCGGCAGGGGCAGTAGTTCTAGTTGTCTAGTTCTCTTGGGATTGTTTTCAGGCTAAGTTTGGGGGTGCCAACTCGAGCTCGATCGAGTTGGGTGTAAAAACCAGAAAAGTGGTAAAAGTTGGGAAAAACCCAAAGGAAAAAGAGTTTGGTTAAGTCCAGGGAGTTGGCAGTGTTAAAAAGGGTCTAGTAAAGGTTTGGGAAGTTAAAAAAGGAAAGTAAAAAGGGTTCTAAGTAGAATGAAAAGAAGGCAAAGCCTCAAGTGTCCAAAAAGGAAAGAAAAGTTCCCTAAGTGTTTAGAAAATCCCAAACCGCTAGATGTTACCTCAAGAAGCCTCTCCCTAGGAAGTTCTTAAAAGAAAAGTGAGCAAAGCTCCTCAGTTTCAAAGGCGAAATGCCAAAAAGGGTAGTTAGGATTTTGTTCTAAAAAGCTCTAAGTGTTGAACTCGATCGAGTTAGGATTAGGCGGCTCGAGCTGCTGTTCTTGCATCATCTTTGGTTCTAACACTTAGCCTTCTGCCAAAGCAAAGCCACTTTCTTGAGAGATCCCTGTTACTAAACCACCATACAAAAGAGACCCTCTTTGTCTCTTAACCCATAAACCCTTGAAACCAAATGAGTTGATTGATCTTGCATGTTTTTGGTTCACTGTTTTTGCTTAATGAATGTTAAAGGGATTTGCTGATTTGAATGCATTGTTTGAGTGACTGTGAAGTGGGATTGATGTTGATAAGCATGGTTAAATCTTAATGAATATCTCTCACCTTGTTGCATTCTAGAATCTCTAAGTTGGACATTTAGCAAATCGCTTTTGAGGACATGTTTTTAAGTGTTGAATCAGCTTTTTCAAACCTCATCTCTTTCTTGTTCTATTTGTTTGCTTGAGGGCAAGCAAAGTTCAAGTTTGGGGGTGTTGATGTACTTGCATTTTACATAGTTTTAGCACATCTTTTATGCATCTTTTGCTTTTGCAGCTTAGCCATTTGCATCATATCTTGTTCCTTTTCTCTTCTTATGCATTCATGTTAGTTTTAGGTTGCATTTGCATACATATGCATGTTTGGTCCTTTGAAATAGGTCTTTTGGAGCATTCTGGAGCATATGGGACATGAGGAGCATGGAGGGACTTGGCACATGGAAGCAGCTCAACTGGATACGCAAAGGAAGAAGGGAGAAGCCATCTTGAAGACCAGCTCGACCGTCTACTCGACCAACCGGTCGAGTTCCTCAACTCGACCGGCCAAGCTTCAACTCGATCGAGCTGAGAAGTCAAAGTCAAACCCGAAAAATGTTGCTTCCCCCTTGACTTTCCTTTGACCCTAAACCTAATCCTCTTGTATTTAAAGGCTCTAAGCCACGAAAAAACCACCAAGCTTTAGATTACTTTTGTTTTAGTTTCTTTTAATTTATTGTCTTTTACTTTTTAGAGATCTAATCCCATCTTTGTGTTCTTGAAGCTCTTGCTTCTTGAATCCTAGATCCTGGATAATCTCTTTGTATTTGCACTTGCTTATTTCAATAAAAGTTGTTTATTTCATCTCCTCTTTCTTATGATGTCTCTTTTCATTGCATTTGCTTGTGTTTACATTCATGTGTAGTGAGTAGTTACCCATTAGGGTTTGAGATGGGATAGATTAGAGGTTTCATATGCTTAATCCTTCTAGCTTATGGTCTTAATCTAGATTCTCTCTCTTTTGGATAGATCTTAAGGCTACATGACCACTACCCCTGGCTTGTAAGTCCTTAGGCGACTCCCCACACGAAGTGATGGCATTCGCTGGAAAAGATCCACTAAGAGCTCCAATATCTCTTGCTCTAGAAATAGAGGTCTAAGGGGTTGGATGGATTAGTTTGGGCAATGATCCTATAGCCTCCAAGGTTTGATTCTCACTGGCTAACCCCCTGTTTCTGAGATCATTCCTTGGTTGATAGCCTCCACCTTGGGAAAGGGTTGGCTAGGCATTGAGAAGCCCAATATCAAGAGAAGCCTTGATACAAGGAGTTTTAAGAGCTAGATTGATTAAGTGTAGATTCCTTTGATTGCAAAACCCTGTCTTGAACCCTAATTCTCTCTTTATCTTGTTAAAGTCGTCACCTTTAGCTTTTTCTCAACTCGACCCTAAACTCGATCGAGCTGGTACTCTGTTCCACTCGACTCGAGTCCTTGGTCGAGCTGACTTCACTGCTTTCTTTACTTTTATTGCACTGCATTTCATTTTTAGGTTGTTAGTGTTACTTCAAATCTATAACTGCTTGCTTGACTTCCTGGTTGTTTCATATTCTCATAGAGTGACAAGTTTCCCATTTTGGATTGATAACCCTTTGTACTACAACTATGATGGTTAAAGGGAATTGTTGATGTGTTTGTGTTTGCATCTTACCACCATCATATACCACTGTTGCATTCCACCATCTCATTTCATATCTTTTCACACATCCACCGCAAATACCTTTCATCAGTTGCGCAGCCGCGAGGCTTTGTTCACCGGCTCGCGCGGCATGGTCGTGCGCGGCGTGGCGTGACGTGATGGTGGCTTGGCCGACCGCGGGGCAAAATTCCCCGGGTCGCGATTTGTGATCGGCCGGTTGACTTCGAACTTTGGCCGAGACTTCAGACGGACGGATATGATTTTGGCCGAGCGCGAAACAATAGTTTCTCGGCCAGCCGGACTGCGCGGTTGGGCGCTGCTTTCTCGATAGAGCCGTCTGGACAGTCTTCACCCTTTTGGTTATAACTCCTTTTCTACTCATCCAAATTAGGCCGTTCCAGTTGCGTTGGAAATTTAACTCAATCAGAGCACGCAGGGAACTGGTCGTGATGAAATCCATTGAGTAGATCTTTTTATGGGCCCTCTTGAAGTTGGTGCTTGTGCATGGAGCGGCTTGAAGTGCAAATCCTATGGTTTTGCTCCAAAATGCATGAGTACAAGGCCAACCTTTCGTTCTTTATCATCCTTCTCATCTATTCATCTTCTTTTAGTTTATATTCAAATAAGGGCAAGATTAATGGTCAAGATTAGGACAATTTTAGTTCTACACATGACTATGAGGACAAACATGAGTGAAACGGGGTTGGAGTCAACTCATCTCCATCTCAGCTCTATGCCAACTCTTTGGACTTCCCAATGAGACAGCACATGACTTCAAGGAGAACTCAAAGAGGAAACAAGCTGCCTTTGCTGATTGGACACACTTTGCCAATGAACCATTCTTGCCTTCAAGATCAAAGGTGTCTAGAATCACCCATCCAGCCATTCGCTATGTGCACCGCCTCATCTCCACCACTTTCCAATGCAAACAAGAAGCCAACAAGGTCACAACTGATGAGTTCTACATCCTCACCACACCATTCATCAAGCATGAGTACAAGGCCAACCTTTCGTTCTTTATCATCCTTCTCATTTATTCATCTTCTTTTAGTTTATATTCAAATAAGGGCAAGATTAATGGTCAAGATTAGGACAATTTTAGTTCTACACATGACTATGAGGACAAACATGAGTGATACGGGGTTGGAGTCAACTCATCTCCATCTCAGCTCTATGCCAACTCTTTGGACTTCCCAATGAGACAGCACATGACTTCAAGGAGAACTCAAAGAGGAAACAAGCTGCCTTTGCTGATTGGACACACTTTGCCAATGAACCATTCTTGCCTTCAAGATCAAAGGTGTCTAGAATCACTCATCCAGCCATTCGCTATGTGCACCGCCTCATCTCCACCACTTTCCAATGCAAACAAGAAGCCAACAAGGTCACAACTGATGAGTTCTACATCCTCACCACACCATTCATCAAGCATGAGTACAAGGCCAACCTTTCGTTCTTTATCATCCTTCTCATCTATTCATCTTCTTTTAGTTTATATTCAAATAAGGGAAAGATTTGAGGGCAAATCTTTTTCAAGAATGGGAGAATGATATGATTATGGGCAGAACCAAGGAAGGACGTGTGTTCACTGTTCGAATCTTATCTTCACAACCACGACGATTACACACATGAAACCGGCTGGAGGATATGCTCAGCTCAATTACAGAACACCTCGAACAAGAATCAGTTCAAACGGAGTTGAACCGAAGGTATATTAATCCACAACTCGGTCTGGCCATACTTTCCTCACTGTCTTTAGTTCGAACAGTGAGAAGCTTGTACCTTTAAGTGTACCTCTGTGACTCCACATTGTGGAAACTCACTTGTAGTGTATAAGATGAACTAGATGGACCCATACTTATCCAAACATGGTTGAACTAGATTTCCGGCTTACTCCGATCCTTCAAGCTCAAAGAACATCAAATTTGCCCATGTACATTTCTTTGATCCTTACCCAAACCGGACGGTTCACTAGTTACAGTTGAACCGATTAACAGCTTCTCATTACTAAATGTTATAGATCGCATCAAAAAAGTGACCGTCCAAAGAAGCTGGATTTACACTGTGACTTTTGATCTTTCTTCACATCTCAGATCCCATCCTTGATAGATAATCTCTCCATGAATGTCCCTTGGCACTACTGCCTTAGGAAAAAGCTTTAGAGTTCTTGTCACTTTCTGATGCGGGATCAGGTTTTACCTATTCCTATCCCTGATTCTGCAAGTGCACAGGTCAGGTGTAGTAACGGGTTATCGAACACAAGGAGCAGATAAGTGCACTACAAGCTATGCAAGTCTAACTTAGCTAGGACAAAAGGATGAATTGGGGTTTTGGTATGCAAAAGAACTAAACTAAAAGAAAGCAATATGAAAGCGGTGTAAGTTCAATGTGGGAAAGACGCTAGGCAATAGGTAATTCGCAGAGATTCATATATGATAAGATTGATGATTGATTTATATCTATTTAGGGATATGGGATGTAAGATCCGTCTAGAACACCAAACACGATTGTAAAACCATTCCACTGTCGAGGCTCCGGTTCCTTTGTTAATCTACCTAGTCGCTAAACTTTTGGTATGTCCCTAGGTGATTAAATCAAGCATTAGATCGAGCAAGTTCGGATACAGTTCACTAGGTTAAGTAAATCAACTTCGCAGTCTAAGAAACCTAGCTTGTCAAAGAATATGTCCGGCGAATGATACAACACTTTCGAGGCTCAAATCAACCTAAGATCGAATCACTAGATGTACGGTAAAGTGATTAGCATTAATTAAGTGTGCAAAACGAGACAAAGACTCTAATGATATCCCTAGTTAATTCATCAAATCATAATCAACACATGAACTCTTTGAAACCCTAAAACCTAACTAGAAATCTACTCAAACATGGTGCAAGTAAACAAGCATAGATCTGAGATAGAAATCATATTAATATAAGGAGAAAAGGGTTTAGAAAGCTTCTCTATGTCGAGATACAAAGAAGGGATCTTCTCCCTAAGGAAAACAATGAGAAAGAAGTAAAACAATGGAGATCCCTCTAAGGGGAGCTCCCTAGTGCGCCTCTCTCTTGTAGCTCTTCTCTTGTAACTCTCTATGCGGCTCTCTCTTCTAAAGAGGCTAAAAAGAGTATTTATAGTGCCCTAGGTCTTCACAAGTCGGTTTAGGTTAATTGGGCTGAGAATTGTCAAAACTGCATAAGTGGGCTTCTTGTTCGCGGATCGGGTCGACCGGTGTGGTCGGCCGTCGGGGTCGGCCGTGATGTGATGTTCTCGGTCGATCGTGGTCCATTGCCTCCCGGCTCGGACGGTGCGGTCGTGCGGCCGGATCGGTCCTGGAGAAGGCCGAGCGAAGCCAATTCCCTTCCTGTCCGGCCGAGTGCGTTCGGCCGGCTGTTAACCAGTCTTCAGTACAAACGTGATATCTCCTAAACGGCTTATCCAAATTGCATACTTCCAACGGCATTGGAACACTAACTCATCTGCCTATCTTGTTTCATTGAAATCCATTGAGTTTAAGGGTCCAAGCCGCTGCTGCCCGTCTGATGTACTGATGCAGTCCGATTAAGCTCCTCGTATATGTCTCAGGGAAATAGAGATATCTCCCAATCTACTCGGTCAAATTGATTGATTCCAGTTGCGTTGCAAAGCTAACTCACGTATGCATCACGTCGAACTGGATTTGATGAAGTCCATTGAGTAGAATGTTACGTTAGTGGTCTTGAAGTCCAAATCCTGTGTTTTGCTCCAAAATGCATCTTTTGACCTGTTTAGACTCTAAGTACTATAAATCCATAAAAACTACCTTTTTAGATCAGAAAGCCATTAAAAACCATTAGAAAACATAGTAAAACCATATAAAAAGCATGTAAAATAGAGGTATATCAACTCCCCCAGACTTAGATCTTTGCTTGTCCCCAAGCAAAGAATCTAAACTAGTGAAGAGGTTTGAAAAACGTGGGAACTCCCTTGCTTCTTTGAAAATCCTGTGAAAGGTTCCTTTCCTGTATTCCACTAAGAACATAGTCAACATAAGGTTAGCTTCACATACACCCTGCAAGTTTAGCGAACAATACCAACTCAGTCTCATCCAGCAATCCAAACTCTCTATTGCTAACCTCTTGCATAAATTTAAAGCGTGAGTTCTTTATCAAGGGAACATCGATCAATTGAACTTGTTCTTACCCACTTGATCTTCTCCAAGATTGTCTTTGAAGTGCAATGAGTTCTTTTCCTCTCTCTTTCTCACATCAGAACTTTGAAAGGTCAATTTCTCCCTACTTTTCTAGGGTATCATTTTATTTTTTCTATTGACCCTTCTTTCAACCACAGGATAAGTCTTTAGCTTGTTCCTTGTTTGACTAAGGTATTCCATAAGACATGAAGGTACAGACATATGCATTCCTCATGCTTACTTGTTTTCCTTGTGCTCTTTGAGCTTTTCTCATAAACATTACTTACCATTTGGGATGGGAGAGAGAGGAGAACTCTTTAGACAAATCTCATTGAAAATCAAGCAAGGAACTGTCGACATGTATGCCAATCCCCTTGACAAGAGTTATTAAGATTGATTAAGGGTGAGGTTAACTCTAGATTGCTTGGTTACCTTAGAAATTTCGCTGAGCTAGCATGCGATCCACTGTAAGAGCTTCTGTTAGGCTTGTGCCTTTAGCTGATGTCTGCTCTAGGGTCATAGATTGTTAGCATAACACTATCAAATCTCAAAGCAAGTTCATAGTTTCCGGACTGGTTTTGACTCAATAAAACAGAAAGTTTTGAAAAAGTGGAAAAGAATAAGATATAAGATAAGACAAGGCATGAACAAACACATTAGTACCAACAATCCCCCCAGACTTAACTTGCACCGTCCCGGTGAAAGAAAATCCGATTAAGGGAGGAAAAAGAAAGAGGTAATAATGTGTGAGTGAATGAGAAGAAAGATATAACCTGATTAGACATTAAGTCCATGAAGAAACGACCCATAGTGGTGGTATGTAGGTTGACCTTTGGTCATCATGTCAGGGCTTGGTTCACTCCGGGTTGCGTTCTGGCCGAGATGGTCCATTTCGGTCGTCCGAAAGGGTATGCTATGAACTACAGAACAAACCATGAAGAATTCCTCGACCCATATTGAAATTTCATCGACCAACCTGATATTTTATGCCCTGATGAAGTTTGAGATCATTCGAACGAGTGTGAGAGATCCTTCACAAAGTGGTCCAATCGGCTCCATGGAGAGGTTTCTTGGCCATCCTTGAGATTGACTCGTTCGTTTTGTACTCTTCCTCTTGGAAGTGTGTTAATGAAGCTCCATGAAGTGTTTTCCAGCCGGAGTTCGCGCCTATGCCGTGATTTGGTTTTGTCGGCCATTTT